TCTCATATCAATGCAGACTCATGAAAGCTAGGAAGGAAGTATCAAATTGTATAAACGCGCGTTGCAGTGTTCATTGCATCCGTTCGATGTATTAGTATAATATGCAGAAGCATTATAATTTACCGATCGATTCTTCCCAATTGTTTTCATATTAAATAAATAATTTAATACTTTTTCATTTGTTAATATTACAATATACTAGTATATATATATATATTATTATATGTGTTTAAAAAATAAATAAAAGATAAACTTTCTTTGTTATAACGAAATATAGAAAGAAAAGAAAAAATGGGGATAGAATTATAAGTGCAAAGATCGATAATTCAAAATACGCGGTAAATTTCGCGCGGCGTTTGATCGAATTCGATTCTTCGTAGCACGTTGGACCGACCGGTCTCGTTCGGCGGAAAAAGCCGAAGTTAGAGCCGAAGTCTGTCGTAAATGGTCGAAGTTGAACGACGTCAGCACGCACGATCTTCGTAGCGGGAGTCTCGAACGGTGCGTCAAACAGTTCGAATCCAGCTTTTCGCGACGAACTAACTAATTTTTGATCGATCGATAGATCGATCTGTCTCGTTCGGTCAATTAATCATTATCGGTTAATCGAAAGAGAGAAAGTCCAATTATTTCCGATTCGTTTGTTTTATATTAAACGATGACAAGGTGTGACGAAAAACAATTGCAAGTAACCAAAAAAACGTGTAGGTGAATTGTCGTGAAAAAAAGAAAAAAAAAAGGAGGATCCGAAGAACAACCAAAGAAGAAATGAAAACAAAAATATTAAACAGTTAAAAATTAACTAGTAAAAGTGATTAAGGTGACAAGAAAATAAAATTAAACGGAAGAAACAACTAAGAAGATAAAGAGGGCAAACATTACGGTTTCGAAAGTATCAACTAACTTGGAGGAGAACTTCGTTTAATCTATCATCTTTCTCTTCGTCATATTTTTTCGTCTTTCTTATTCTTCTTTTTGCAGAAATCGACACGAAAAATCGAGGTAAGTTTCTGTCGGTTTCTAACCGCAACTCTGTTTCTATTTAACGATACAACAGATACGTTTTGATATGATACGTTGTGTTGTCGAGGCTACGAAATCTGTGAATTAATATTTTTAATAAATTTTTGTTTACATTTTTGTCAAATTTCATATGCATATCGTGTGTGTTATTGTGAAGATGCATTTTTTGGAATGTAATCTATGTTAGATATCATTACCGAATTCATTGTAGGAGAAGATTTTTATTTTGTTTTGTTTTTTTTTTAAAAAACTACATGCGCCCAGTGACATCTTGCGGCGATGCAACGAAAAACGATTTATTTTAAACATCTTTTTTTTAAAAAATAAGATTTCGTATTCTTTTAAAATTATAAGAAATATATATGAAAAAAAGTACTGATTAGTCGACAAGAATAACAGGTTCTTTTTTTTTTCTTTTCATAAAAGCATAGCAAGAATAATACGTAGAGATTTTATTTGCAATCTGTAATAAATTATATATTAATATATTCGTACAAAGATAATTATAACTTATAGTTATCGAATAGAGAGAAATTGTCTCTTTGTAGAGAGGTATAATAAGAAATTATTGTTTTTTATATTATTTTATTTTTTGTTTGTTTTTACGGACATGTATGCGCATAAACGCATTTGTCATAAATGAAATCTCATGATTCAATGATCTAATCATTTTATCCAGATATAATGGGACATATATTATCAGGTGGTTATATAAATAGAAGTAAATTATAAAGGGTGATTCCCCTTATAGGAGAGTGCAAATAATACGGAAGTACGACGTATCTATATGTACGTTGAATATGAATTAGGCGAATTTGAGTAAGACAAGAAAATCGAATAATCGATCGATGATCTATAAATCAATGTACTCTTAAAATACTGTAGGTATGCATGCAAGAATCTGATACGTGAAAAAAAAGTAATTTTATGAAATATTTATTTTTAACATTTTCATTGAAATATGTTTGGATTTAATTTTTGTGAAAAAGAAATTAAGAAATATAAACACATTTATATAGGAAACTTTATACAAGTATAATGTATTTTAAAATTATAATAAATCATATTAAATGTATGTAATATTAAAAATGAAATATTATTTTTAAAATGAATGCTTATAATATGTAAAAATTGAAATGTCACTTATCAGGGATTTGCATGCAATTATAGAATTAATTATTATATGTGAGGAGGTGGTGAGGTGGAGAGGGAGAAGAAGGATCCATCATTCAGATTTCGTATTAGAAACACGTTTTAAAAGAATTTTCGAAAGTTGCTGGGAAATGCAACAGAGCAGTAAAATCAGAACGCATTCAACACGATGTGCGTTTGAGTTCGTTGCTCAGCCATCGAAGAGTATGAAATACTTTGCACCAATTGCAATCATTATATCTATATTATTTTATTTATTTTTTTTTTACAGTTATAAACTACCTTTGAAATAATATTTGTCGATAATTATCTCATATATTATTATAAGTTTATATTTATTCTTGCAGTTCACGTTATTTTATTTACACGATAGACAACACATCGATAATCATTTCACATATGTTTCATGGAATTATGGTTACTTAATCAAATTTTTCATTCACAATATAGATAAAATATCCATGATCATTTTTCATATGTTAAAACATAATAATAATAAAGGATATTAAAATTATATTTTTATTTTTTACGATTATTATTAAATAATTATAGTTTCTGTTTTATACTTACGAAATAAATTAGAGAATATTATGTTAATCCAAATGATATTTCTCATAGAAACAATGTATTTAATCGAACGTAACACTTTAATCATTTTCGAGATTAGTCGAGATCAAGGAACATATCGAGTCGAATGATCCAGTTGCTTTAGAAACGTGTCGTGACAAGTGTGTGTACTACTGACAAGAAAAATAACTAGCTAGCTAGTTTATTCCCGCATTTATTAATAGAAAGCGAATGTGGAAATGATGAAACTTTCATATTACATTATCGTAATAAATTAGTAATTAGTTTAGTCATGAGTTAATACATTCGACAACAATCAATATTTTTTACTTGTATTTATTAGATGATTCCATCCAAATTTTATGTTTTAAAGCGAAACATTTCAACGATTATTCTCAAATAATTTCTTCATACAAGAAACACTATAATTAAATTAATTTATTTCAAACTATATTTTAATAAAAGTCAAAGAAAGAAGAAACAAAATAAATTGGTTAAGAAATTGTTAAGAAATTAATAATAAATATATTATCGAAGATATTATATTCGATCGAATACAAATCTCATACACGATACATGACTTTAAATTATTATAAATATTTAATAACATTTGTAACGATAAACATTTATATAGGAAACAAAGTTTTTTTTTATTGTCGTTTGAAAAGTTCACTCTTATAGATCATCATAAATCGTGAAAGATCGAGAATGAATCGTGAAGTATGAAAGAAGAAGAAGAAGAAGAAAAGGTCGAAGTCATCGTCGAACTAACAATCAGTGAAAATATTTTTCAAGAGTTAAAGAGGGTCGAGAGAGTTCTCTTAATTATAATAATTATTATTATTTAATCCTTAAAATCACTTAGAATGCGTACGATTTAAACAGCTTGAAATTTATGGATTCATCGAATCATACAAACATGATTTAAAATAATAATATTTAAAAAAGTAAAAGAAAAAAAATAATGTTAAAACAAATGTACATATTTTAGTATAAACAATCTCAAATACAATACTGTGTTCAATTTACCTTAATTGATTGATAATTAATAAAAAAAAATGTATATTTCAGTCTAAAAGCCATGGAGTATAAATTCGACGACCATCCTCTTCGAAATCCAACAGTAAACTATCATTCATTGTCCTTTTTCAAAGTTATATAAAATTTCTTCTATTGATTGCTGTTTACGTCACTTTCCGTAAGAATACATGCGTGTAAACGAGAATAATATTGGCAATAAAAAAGAAATATAATTTTTTGAAAGTCATATAAACACAATTAGCAATCAATAAAAGAAATTTGATTGATTTTCAGTTGAGACAGTCTAACGGTGGATTTCGAAGAGGATAGTAGCATTGAATTTATTAATCCATGCTTTTAAATTACAGTATACATTTTGTTCGAATAATTAACAATCATTTAAAGTATTTCCTCACTCGTCTCTCAATAAACAAATACATCTCACATACGTTACACTAATATTAGAATCTTCCATAATTTCGTTTAACTGTGGGCTCTATCTCATTCTCTCTCTCTCTCTCTCTCCTTACCACTATACTTCATTTCTTTTTATACCGTTTTATAAAATTTTATCGTTACCAAAGTTTAAATATAAATTTCACTTTAGTCATTTTTTTATTACGAATAAAATATATAATCACAAATTTATTGTATAAACAGGATCGAGTGAAATTTTCATACACGCGAATATTATTTCAAATAATTGTTCTCGATAGATTTTGTTCGTTGTTCTTCTACTTAATTGTTGTTTTCTTTACGAAGATCTTTCATTAAAGAAAGAAGGAATGAAAAATAAGAGAGAAAAAAAGGGTAGATAGAAAAAGAACGATTGGGTCTCGGTTATGTGCGTCGTGCCGACGACAACGTCGGGTCAATCAACCGTCAGTGTTTATACTCGTTTGAACAACGACCCCGTAACAAATTGTTACCTCAGTTATATACACCGAGGGGAATTATCCGTCGTGCTTGTTCTCTACCAACGAATCACCCAGAGTTTCTGCCTTGTACAGTAGACTCCCTTCTTTTATATCGTCACATTGGCCAGGCCAAGCCAAGCCAAGCCAACCTTTAATAATCTAATATTATTTTCCTTTTACGTTTAATACTTTTTTTTACATTTCTTTTTTGATTTTTCTTTTAATATAATATTCCTTTAAGCTATAAAAAAAAAGGGATATTAATCACGTACCAACATTGGAAAATTATATTATAATTATTTGGATAGTTTATTGCGTTAGATTGAATTTATTAAAACAGGATAACATAATACTATAAATTTGACATTTTTTTTTGTTTATATAATTGTCATGTTAACGTTATGAAATGTTAAGAATGTATGGTATAAATTTGTTAGTATAATATTTTCTAGGACCATGATAGAATATATTTTATTGAAATTAGTTGAATTAAAATACGAGAATAGAGAGAGAACGTTGTTAGAAAATAATGTAAATGTTAGAAATCACTGATCTTGGCATTTATGTTAGATGATCACTGGAGATTGTAAAATCTGGAAGAAAAAGGCAAATGGCATTATGCAAAGTGATATTTGTATATTTTTATAGATCAAGGGAGAACGCTTTCGCATACAACACACACACATACACTTGTAAGAGATAAACAAAAAGATTGATGAATAAGAATAATCTTTGATACAAATATTTGAATTTCAGAAAAATATCTTTACGAGATTGGATTCGATCAAATTTTGTTTTTCTTTTTTTCTCTTTTTTTTACTCACGTCAGAGCTTCGTAACGTTGTAAATGGGCTTTCACTTTAGACGACGAAGTATATTGGCACACCGTCTGTATAACGTTCGATAAGTGTTCTTAAGTTGCTTAATAACATCGTGTAAGTTTACACGATGTAACGACAGGGTGAAGGAGGCAGTGGGAGGGAAAGTGGAGAAAGAGGAGGCCCTTGAAAGTGTTGACGTTATAAATCCCGTGACATCGATCCAGATTAAAAAATACGTGGGAGAGAAAAACATTTATTTTAAAAGATATCTCGGTTGTCTAATGTTTTCATTATTTTCTTGTTTAATTCGACATGAGTCATCATAGGTAAAAAATTGTTGTATTTAATTTTGTATTTTTTATATATCTAATTATAATAACAATTATATATTGTACATAACTTTGTCAAATGTTTTCGTTATTATTTAAATGGTAATTCAATAAAATAGGATTTTACAAATCACCGTAAGTTTCAAATTATTGTATAGGAAGAAAATTTGTATTTTTACCAAAATTCGATTATAGAAAACATTTCAATTATTTTCTTAACATTTGACAATATCGGCCTTCAACATAAATTTTTAGTTTTATGCACGCAAGGAAACGAAGACTATCATCCTTTACTATCTAATACCACTTTTAGTTAGTTCAAATATTTTCTATTAATATAATAGTCGAAGTTGAACTTTGTAGAGGAAATAAATATTATACGAGTACGAAAGATAAAATAATATTTCTCATATATCTATAATATATATATTAATAAATTAAAAATGAATTTTGTTCATTCTCACGATCATAGGTCATTTATCTTTCTATAATATAATAGATTAAAAGCGACATTAAAGAAGAAGAACACAACACAACACAACATAAGACAACATAAACTGCGTTCCGGTTACGTGACTCGGATCGTTCCACCAGACCGGGCTCCTTACAAACTCAAAACTCGATATCTCAACGATATGCATATATGTATACACCATGTATGTATATAATACGTAGTCGGTGCATTCAATTCGCGTGCTTTCAAACCGGAAGAGATATCGAGAGTTTAATTTATCGGTTACGCGGAATCAAAGACGACGACGACGACGACGACGACGATGTTGTTGTATCGACGAACGATAGACGTCTTGGTCTTTCTTCTTTTTCCTATCAATATATACAGGACGATTCATTAATAGATATTATAAATAGTTAATAAGATTTTAACCTTGTCATTTAGACATTAATAACTAAATTCATATTAATTTGATACACTGTTTATGAATGGGGTTGATTGATTGGTTGTGGAAAAACATTTGTCGATTTTACTAAATAATTTTCATTTCGTTATATAATAATTTATAGACTTTTACAAATATTTATTGGTTAATATTTTTTGGAAATTATTTTAAATTAAATAAAATTCATATAGAAATTGATTCGTTTTTAAAAATAGTTGCAGGCGAATCATTGCTGATTTCATCTAAACAGTTCAAATTTTATTACAATAACTAACGTGTTGCGACATAATCGGCCAATTTCTGATTTATACCTTTCCACAGGTATATTCTTTATAGTTTTAAAAGGTTCTTTTGTTGTAACTTTTCGGTATGGGTCGTGCGGTATTATAAATATATCCGATTAGTGGTTTTTTCGTTTTGACTTTTTTTCTTTAGGTAAACCGGATCCCTCATCCAGTTCTATGGACCATAAATTATCCAAAGAGTTGTTCGATATGGGAATTTGGGCAGTCAATTTATGGCGCCATTATGGTCAAAACGTGAGATTCACGGTGTTACATTTAATTTCTTGGTATAAATGAACCTTAATGCAGCAACGGATTCAAAAACTGACGTATTTTTATATACGAAACTTTTCTTATTCAACGCGTGAATTTAAAAATTATATTTTATTATTTACGATCTTTTTCCGTGAATCACCCTGTAGATGTACTCATTTACTTTCTTCTTTACTCTTATACTTTTTTTTCTCTTATGTGTGTTTGTGCGCATGTGCATGTGCATGTGCATGCGCATGTGTAGAGTTTCTTTCACCGAAGCACAACATTCACTGACATTTCTCCGATTTAAATATGAACCATCTCTTATGTAACGTCTTATGTCTATCTCTTTCTCTTTCTATTATTATTTCAACTTATTAAATTTGATTTTCTTTTAACAGAAAATCGAAATTTCCTTGTTCAGATAGATAAATGGGATGTATGTATGTCTAGAAAGAAATTCTTTCGAATAAACCTTTTTTTCCAATTGAAATTAAATTTATTGAACATTCGAGACAATCTCAAATCGATATTTAATATGAGATCTATTTTAAAATTTAAGTTAATATATGTATTTTCTTTTCTTTTTTTCTTTTCTCTCCTTTATGGCTAAGCCTATAGAAAGTTAGTCATTCGTTTCTTTCTACTTTTTTATTTCTTTTTGAAAAAAGAAAACAAAAAGTTAATGTTTTTATACAACTTTCTTCAAAGAAATGCATCTCCCTTGAGTATTTATATTATTTAATACAATTTTTTTTTGTCTTATTATTAACTCTCTCTCTCTCTTTTTTTGTTTTTATTTCCGATTTTATAATTTGAACAGACAATCAAAAAATATTCTTCTTGTTTGTAGATATAGTCGGGGTAAGAATTTATTTTCCAAGAAATTAATCTTTTTTTTATTTATTCTTTAAATTATATAAATAAATTGTAATATTAATTAATTATAATGTAGTATAATATTTTGATTGGATAAAATTACATAAAATTTTAACAAATGTATAAATTAACGCGTTTGACGTAATGTTCATTACGTTGGATAAATATTTCTCTAATGAATGTAATTTTTGTGCTTGCGAATATGATCTAACTCGGTTAATGCGCATGTGTAAACGTTAGTTTGTCATTCAAAAAGCGAACGTGTGCGATAAACTTGGTTAATAAATCTTTGCCAGCGGTCACGGCAACATCGTCTCATCAGCAATTTCTCAAATAACTTTTTCGCGTTTGTTATTATTATTATTATTTTATATTTTTTTAATTTCACATATGTTTCTTTTTCTCTCTCTCTCTTCTTCTTCTTCTTTTTCTTTGCTATCGTTGTTATTCTTGTTATTTTTAATTATATTATCGTAAACATTTCCAGTCTTGCATCGATTTTTATTCTCGATTGGATTTCCCCCATTCGTAATGGTATTTCCACATAATGATAAATTACAGAGCTAGGTCAAAAGTTTCCACGTTATTTTAAACAAATTAATTACTATTTTTACAGGTTTTTTCTTTTGTAAAATTTATTATTTATCTTTTTTTCGCGCCACAGATTATAAAACTACAAGCCTGAGAACGTCTTCCTATTTTTTCTTTTTTTTTTTTTTCTAATCCAGAAAAAGATTTAATCTAAAAAAGTCTCGGGGAAAAAGTAATTAATTTATAAAATCATCCGGGAAATTTGTTCCGCGTGGCTTGCATTTCGCAAAGCATCATTTTTCAAATTAGAAGTGCGAGTAAAAAGAAAAAAGAAAAAAAAAAGAAATGATTGCACGAGGAATCGAATTTGTAAAAGAAAAAAAGAACAAAAATCCATCGGATAATATCGAAACGAATGTTTGATACGGAAAATACTTATATTTTGTATGTTCGTGTGAAAAAATGATTTAACCTATTTCACGTTATCAAAATATTATATAATAATCGTAGTCGCTTATTTTCAAAAAAAAAAACAAAAGAAATAAAGAAGCAACTTATGCAGCCACGTAATAAAACGGGGAGGAGGATCGATCGGACCTGCGAGTTTGCACAACACGCATAATTGCAATGTCCAAGAGAAAAGATTAATTGCCATTTCCCATTTCGTGCGAGAGCGCACTGAGCACTGGCTGCGTCAAGGTGTGCGAATACTAAAGATCGATGTTATCAACTTATTATAACATTTCACGCTTTCATTTATTTCCAGATACGAGAAACACGCGTTTTTAACAGTTTTTTTGATATTTATTTACAATAGACAAAAATTAATGTTTCTTTCCAAATTTCAATATTTAATTATAATTAATAATAAGAAAAATTCTAATGGTAAAATAAATAGTAGTATTTAGTTATACAAATAATAATAACAATAATAATTATGATAACGATTATTCGTCGTGTTAAATATATATTTACGCAAATGTCTTAATTTTCAATCTTATATTTTATCTTTGTAATAATCTTTCGTAAATAAATCATTTTTTTTTATTAATTAGAAAAGAAATCTCTCAAAGATTTTTTTTTAATTGGATCTTCTCTCGCGTTTACGTTTCAGAAAATATTCTAATTATAAATTTAATTTAAATTATAAGATTTTTAACTGTTACCCGAACACGAATAATTTGTCTCGTTTATTCACGTCTTTTTTTTTCTTTTTTTTTTTTTTATCTTAATTCGAAATAATTATTCGAGATTTTCCATCTTTTTAGTTTTGAATTTTTGTTCTCATTTGAAGTCTTGTTAGTTAAATCATGATTACGAAATGCTAATGCAATTTCAGTACTTTAATTCGTCAGAAATGAGATTTACTATTTTTTAGAATTTTACAAAATTTTAATTTGATTAACCAATCGATTTTTACAATTAATGTGATTGCATTTGCTATAATTGATTGGTATCATTAAGAATCTTTTATTTTTTTTTTTTTTTTTTTTTATAAGTTTTAGTTAAATTTCGTTAATTATTGTTGTTTTAGTATACATATTGCAACATCAATAAACTACATTTTGAAAGTCATTAATGGTAGCACAACGCTTGCACAATTAATTATTGCATAATACTTCATAATGAAGTGACATGACGACTACAAAAATGCACGAGCAACTTTCCTTTTCGCACTCGCTTTAGATGAGTCGTTACTTTTTCTTTCTTAACGTTACGTTTGTCTTTCTAATATAATCTAACACTTTTTGTGTTATTTCAGAATTAATTATACGTATTATCTTTTGCGTTTGAATACAAATTAGATTGAAAAAAAAAAAAAACAAATAAAAATAGGAAAGTTCGTTTCATTCATAGAAGTTGGTAATTATGAAAATGTTTTATAATGATAAATCGTATAAATAATTTTTAATTTCATTTATAAATATTATATTTTTAATTTTTTCATCATTTTTGAATTTTAATTATTTGCTTTGCTAAAAAGTATATTCATATTTGCCTTTTCAATAGTTTGTATTGAAAAAAAAAAAAAAAAA